AGAAGCACCGCAAGGACATGAAGGCCATGAATGACAAACTGGACAAGCTACTCCTTGTGCAACAGAAGCAAGTCCATTTTCTCTGTGAAGATGAGACGTTCCAAGTCCAGGATGGGGAGACTCTCCAGTCAGAAGAAGTAAGCTATGTGCATAACCAAGGAGGCTACAACAAAGGCTACAACTACTATAAGCAGAACAATCCCAATCTGTCTTATAGGAGTACTAATGTTGCAAACCCGCAGGATCAAGTCTACCCTCAACAACAGCAGACCCAACCCAAACCATTCGTTCCATACAACCAAGGTCAAGGGTTTGTTCCTAAGCAACAGTTTCAGGGAAGTTATCAAACACAGCATCCACCACCAGGATTTGTACCACAGCAACAACAAACCTCTAGCACTCCTGACTCAGACCTGAAGCAAATGCTCCAACAGCTTCTTCAAGGACAAGCAACAGGCTCAATGGAGATCGCTAAGAAGCTGGCCGAGATGAACAATAAGATAGACTGCAGTTATAACGATCTCAACATCAAGGTAGAAGCACTAACCTCAAAGGTCAGATACATGGAAGGCCAAACTGGGTCAACCTCTGCTCCCAAGATTACTGGACTTCCAGGGAAGTCAATTCAGAATCCCAAGGAGTATACTGCTAACACCATCACTATCCGCTATGATCGAGAGCTGCCAACTCGACATGCCCTTAACTCAATCACTGCAGGCAGTGTAGTTCAAGAGGAGGAGGATTTCTGTCAAGATGACGTTGTGGCTGACCAAACACTAGAAGAGCCAATACTTGACAAGCCGTCTACTCGCCCACCAGCTTCACCAGTCGCTCCCACTGTTGAAACACCAGCTGCTGCAAAGACCAAGGATACAGTCTTTGTGCCACCTCCCAAGAAATTGGGAGATCCTGGTTCGTTTACCTTACCTTGCTTTATAGGTCCTATAGCCTTCAGTAACTGCCTATGTGATCTAGGTGGTTACATAAGTCTCATGCCTCTCTCTGTGGCCAAGAGACTAGGTTTCAGCGAGTACAAATCTTGCAACAACTACTTGATCCTAGCTGATGGGTCTGTTCGACTACCTCATGGGCTATTAGAAGATTTGCCTGTTAAGATCGGAAATGTTGAAGTCCCTACAGACTTCATAGTGCTCGAAATGGATGAAGATCCAATAAACCCTTTAATCTTCGGAAGGCCCTTCTTAGCTACAGCCGGAGCAGTCATAGATGTCAAGAAGGGGAAGATTAATCTTAATCTTGGAAACGATTTCAAGATGGAGTTTGACATTAATGATACTATGAAGCAACCCACTCGACATGACCAGCACTCAATCACTGAGGACAGTGAAGTTCAGGAAGGGGAGGCTTCTAAACGGATTGAAGTCTCAGTTATTGAACTAAACCATTCAGCTGAATCCCGCCATCAAACTCAGTCTGCCTTGGAAGAGAAAGCTGCTATAATCAAGAGAATGGTAAAGCGATTCAAGCCAAGTCCTTCACCTTCACTTGCTCTCCCATGGACGTTCAGGAAAACTTGGAAAGACAAATATGAATCTCTTGCAGAGAAACATATTGACGAGATGGAAGCAGTGATGCCATTAATAGAAGTCCTCAAGCTGATTCCGGACCCTCACAAAGATGTGAGAAACTTGATATTGGAAAGGCTCAACATATATCAAGATTCAGGTGATGAATATGATACCAATCCAATTCAAGCCACTGATGAGAGGATTATTCAAGAAAAGTTGGAAGATCCTGGATCTTTCACTCTACCATGCTCCATTAGGCAATTAACTTTCAGCAATTGTCTATGTGATCTAGGAGCCTCAGTCAGCCTAATGCCACTCTCTGTGGCAAGGAAGTTAGGATTCGTCCAGTACAAGCCTTGTGACATTACCTTGATTCTTGCTGATAGGACTTCAAGGAGACCTTTTAGCCTGCTAGAGGATGTGCCAGTGATGATTAATGGAGTAGAGGTGCCTACTGATTTTGTTGTGCTTGAGATGGATGAAGAATCTAAGGATCCTCTGATCTTGGGACGACCTTTCTTGGCCTCAGTGAGAGCAGTAATAGATGTCAGATATGGTAAGATTGATCTCAACCTTGGGAAGCATGTCAAGTTGCAGTTTGACATCAACAAAACTTCAACAAGGGCAACAACAGAGAGAAAGACCTTAGAAATTCAGAGAGCAGTTCTAGAAGAAGGATTTGAGGCCGCAAAAGTGAAGGAACCAGTTCTAGTCCAAACTCAACCTTCGAATTCAATCGCACGATCGAGTATACCTTCAGTGCTTAATTGGCAAGAGTTCAAAAAGAAGTCTGATCTCCAAGAAAGAACCATACAGGAGCTTGCCTACACCGTCAAAGAGCTTAGAAACATATTGAGTCGGGTTCAAAGGGAAGTTCAACCTCAGCCCAACGTTCACATTGCTTCAAGAGAGGATGCTGAGTATGATGATAAGCTTGGTGAAGAAGAAGACTTCTTAAGTCTTCTCTGTCACACTTTCTCTGCGTAATATGTGTGAGGAGTCAAGCTAGAGACTTAAAACAAGCTCACTTGGGAGGAAGTCCCATGACTATCTCTGTAAATAATTTTTCATTTCTTGTTATTTTTGATTTGTTTTGGTTGTGTTTGTGGTTCTCAGGAATGGAGAAACAATCTGGAGATAGAGTAAAAATTCAAAAATTTTACTCTACCAAGGACCCTGTGATCGAGTATATCAGCCCAGTGGAGTCCAAAATTTTGAAAATTTTTGGTTACATCCGGAGACTCCGCCATCGAGTAGGAGGGTCGAGTATGTGTGGTTTTGCTAAGAAAAAAATTTTCAATTCAACACCACATACTCGATCACAATGGGAACAAGACGGTGAGAGTGTGCAACAGAGCACCCTACCAACGTGGAGATCGAGTATAATGGTCAGTGTGGTGCAATTTAATTGTTTTGGAGCTGAAATTTAGCAGGAGGATCAAGAGTTAAACAAGCTCGGAGGTACAGTAATCAACTCTAATGAGTTGCGATTTTGCTAATGGTGGTTAAGGAGATTCTCCACTTGAGTCAATGGAGGCATCCCATCATGTCTCCTACATCCCATCATGTCTCCCACCAAGCTAAAGCCACCAACTTACCCACCTCTTTTCCCACATGTTTCTAATGAGTGCTCCACTCCCCTCCACATGATTTCAAGGCTAAAGTCTCATTCATTCTCCTCCACATCTTCAAGGGCACACCACTCACACCATTCCCCTATAAATCCAACGTTTCCAAGGAGAACTAAAAACACCAACTCATCTCTCTCACTACAAAGCTCCACCACTCTCAGCTCACTTCTCTCTCTAAAATCGCCAACATCGCAGCCTTCATCACCACCACCACTCCTCTACTCGATCACCAGCTTCATCACGCCTGTTCCCCATCCGTTTGCTCGATCACCAAGGCAACCCAAGCCGAGTCACCATTCGCCATACTTACTCGATCACCAAACTGAAGCAACCCTCCGCTTCTGACTTGTTTACTCGATCACCGAAGCTATACCACGTACCGATTCTCTGACCAGTATACTCGACCACGCCGTCCTATAACCGCTTCTATCAGCTACATCTAAGGTTTACTCAATCTTTTATCTCACCCAAACTTTAACTCTTTCTTCCATCTTGGTTGTGAATTGTTTGAACTCACTAACCTACTAATTTGTAGTTTTGAGTTTGATTCGTTCAGTTCGAAAAATGAGTTCATACAATGACCAGGTGAGCTACGCCTCTAGCCAAGATAACGATTACAACGTTAATGAGAACGAGTCATGGTCTACATCTCTTCCAGAAAGAGAAGGTCAAGAGTACTCTCGGCTCAGAGATGACATCACCAGAGGCAAGAAAACCATGGAGGAGATATCCAGTTCGTTGAAGAACGTTGCAACGAAACCTTGGAAGACGGACAAGAAGAACATCTCAATGGAAGAGTACTGTGAGCTCTTCAGGCGTCATCACTTCGTCGGGACTAGGTACCCGCATCCAGGGACGATGGTGGAGCTCGGTATCTATGAAGACATCGAGTATCTCTGTGAGCAAACCAGTCTATTCACCCTCATGAACCGTCCTTACAGCGCCTACAAGGAGGAAACAATCCAGTTTCTCTCCTCCTTCCAAGTTGAGATCTTTTCTGAGAAGAAGAAGAAGAGAGAAAGAGATTACGGGCTTGGCTACTTGACCTTCACTATCCATGGCCAAGATTACATCCTCACCATGAAGCAGCTGGAATCTCTCTTTGAGTTTCAGAGCGGAGTTGGCACTGGCCACCGTGTTGACAGAAAAGAGATAGTTGGACTCTGGGAGACGATTGGAGACGATGTCAAGTTCTTCTCTTCCCGCTCCAAGAGCAACACCATCAGGAGCCCAGTCCTCCGCTACTTCCACCGCAGCCTCGCCAGTGTTCTCTTTGCAAGGGAGATAACTGGCACGATCATCAACGGAGAGATGGAAGTGATGGTGATGGCACTGCAGGAAACCCTGGGCGTAACCAACGACAACACAGCGTTAATGGGTGACAAGTCAAACACTTCTGCTGTTTTCTTCTTACTTGGCCACCTGTGGAGCTACAAATCATGGGCAGCAGCGAATGCCAAGAAAACTGCTAAAGGAAAACTGTGTATGGGTGGGCTGATAACACCCATATTGTTAGCATGTGGAGTACCTTTAGAGTCACAAGAAGTCCTTCCTAAGTGGATTGACATCGAGCACTTGAGGAAATCTACCTCTTTGGCTTGGGGAATGATAGATGAAAGGTATGCCTGGATATTTGATCTTCCAGAAGCAGAAGGGGCAAAGTTTCTCCTTCCTCACCAGGCATACACCACGATCACGGACAGAAGCAATATCGACTTCAAACCACCTGTTCAAATGCTCTATGGCGTGAGTGAAGTTGTTCAACCTGCTGAAGAAGAAGGAGCCAATGCTGAAGAAGAAGGAGCCAATGCTGAAGGAGGCGAAGCCGAGGAAGAAGAAGAGGACCTTGATATAGAAGAATATAACACCAGGAGGTTCCACTTCGCTGAGCACAAGCCGCCATCAAGACAGAGCAAGAGCGTCACTGAGAGTCATGAGAAGATCAGCAAGCTCCAAGCCTGGTGCAAGTTCCAGGACAAGTTCATTGGTAAGTGCTTCAAGATGTATAAATCCATGGAGAAGAAGGTGAACCGCTCCTCTACTAGCACATCTGCTCCAAGAATGGACCCTTCTGAAGAGAGACCCTCCAGACGTTATGATTCAGATGCACCAAGGGACTCAACCTATGAACCGGTTCAAGACGTCTACGAAGTACCCAGGCAATCCGCCTATGAACAAAGGGAAGCAAACACTTCCCAGGCACCAGCAAGACATTCCTCTCACGAACCTAGCGAGCATAGGAGAAGAAGGAAGCAAGCACCGGTTCACTCAGGAAGCAAGGCGAGGCTCCTCAACGCCAGGCGACCACTAAACCGCCGCACTGACCGCCAAGCCGACCCTGCCATCGAGTATCCTGCACCAGAGGAGGAAGAGCAACAACAAGGACCCAGCATTCCATGGGAATACACCAGAGAGGAGATGGACGACTACATCTCCAGGACCTTCAACTGAGGTACCACACCCAACCATCATTGTAAATACCATTTTCTGTTTTTGTTTTTATAGTGTCACTCTTGAAATCTCCTTCAGATTTTTACTACACAAGGGACTGTGTAGTTTAAGTTTGGGGGAGGATTCAAGACGTATTTAACATGTTTTGTTTGAGTCTTGTTTTCAAATTTTTGCATTGTATATACTCTTGAGTCTGCATTCATTTAAGGAATAGAAAAAACCAAAAAAATTTGAAAATTTTCTGAAAATGTATTCCACAAAAACAGAGTGTTCATCTAGTTGCATCACATTTAGGATTGAGTCTAGTATGTTTCATATAGGATTGTTGCATATGCATAGGGGATTATGATGAGATAGCCTTGTAAGCATGTTGGTTCAGTAGATAGACTCAATGCCCTCGTTGCTAGTTGTCTGATGCGTAGTCAATGAAATTGAAGTAAAACTGCACCATGTCTTGAATGCTCTACTCGATCACACTGTCATGATTTGATACCATTCCCTATCAATTTGAACCTGAATCTGATTTACAATTATCATGTCTTAGCATCAAATTTGAACTCATGGATACCATATACATACTTGGGTTTTCTTTTAACTTTTCACCATCCTTGCTAACCCAAGTAGCTGCTTCCATCATAGGAGCAGTTTCCCTAGACCTTAACCAAACCTTTCTTTTAAAAGCCCTGTAATATCTCGTGTGTGACTGTGAGGCCTGTTTCAGGATTGAGCTTGGTAGAAAGTGTTAGGTTTGAACCGACAAGAGTAGTGTCTCATGTAGTTCTAGTCCATGTTTTCTGGACTAGATAGGACTAGGTGGGAGTCTATTTTTGGGTGGGGATCGAGTATATGAGTAAAAGAAGGTAAAGGGTGATGTTTTTAGGAGAAGAAAGTTGAGAAACAAGTTAGTCTAGTAATGGGTTTTGAGGAACTAAAATTCAAATAGATAGGCTCTGCAACAAAAGAAAGCAAAAATCTAGAAAAGTCTTTATCATAAGAAGATAACAAGAGCCATAGTTGTCAAAGAAAACCAAAACCCACTAGATCCATCGAGTAAAAGAAAACTTCTCCTTAAAACAGAGTCAGAGAAAAAGAAAGAGTGATTTGATCAAAGATTAAAAATGAGAAAAAAATGCCTTGAGTGCAAAGGGTAGAACTAGGATCATCTTCTGGGCTTGAGGGTAGTACCATCTGCTGGTGTAAACACGGTTCATGTTATTGGGGAAATGAGATACTATTCTTGTATGCATAGGTTGGGTCTTACCTTTAGCATTCTCCTAAAGCTCAGTCCATTTCTTTTGAGAGTCCCCTGTTACTAAACTTGAACCACCTTAAAGGGACTATCTTTGTCTCATAACCTTCACCTTAAGCCAAATGAGTTCATTGATGGTGCATTGCTTGATTCACGTTCTGAAACTAATGAATGTTAAAGGGATTGGTCGATTTGAAAGCATGTGTAGATCGAGTATAAGAGTCGGATTGAATCATAACAAGGCATGGCTAACGTTTTTGAGTAGAGATCGATCATATCGCATCCTAGAACTACCAACTTGGACCTTGATTTTATCTATTCTATCTGATGCTTTGGTTCTGAATCCCCACCTTCAAACCTCTCCTTCATCTTATGTTTACATGTTTGCTTGAGGGCAAGCAAAGACTAAGTTTGGGGGAGTTGATATGTCTATAATTTGCATGTTTTACACATCCGTTTATCACCATTTTGAGTCTAGTTTCGTTCATCTTTCATAGCATTCATCATCATTTCGCATAATTTGCATGTTTAAGTGTGTCTAGCATTAGTCTTGCATGCATTTTGCATTCTGGAGTTGTTTCAGGTGTTTCGGAGCTATTGGTGTTCAGAAAGAGGGAAAACAGAGCTGAAAGTCACATTTGGACCCTTATACTCGATCACCAGTAGCAGAGAGGGAAGCAGTCAGCTCAGCAGACTATCAGGACCATTATACTCGATCACAGGGCAGTCCAGCCAGACTGTTCTACTCGATCACAGAGGAGGAGAGCAGTCCATCCTGCCAGTTGACTGTTCTACTCGATCGCAAGCTTGAAGAAGCGGTCAGTCCCGACAGTCTACCCACATACTCGATCACAAGAGAGAAGAAGCAGTCCAGACCACGCCACTACCCATTCTACTCGATCACCACCTCGACCCTCTGATCAATCCGCACTCAACCAGACAACCTGAGCAAAGGAAAGAGAAGAGGAGAGAAGGAACCACTGGATCGCAGCTTCGATTCACGCTCGACCACGAAGCCCACTTTGAGCCCATTTACTCGACCTCCACGGTCCATGGGCCTGTTAAGCGGACTCGAAGCCCACTTACCTATCTATGTCGTTTTTACTATAAATAAGTCTCTAAGGGTTTCGCCTGAGACATGATCGACTCTTTATTCACGTTTTAGTCTCAAACCCTATTTTTGTTTTAGTAGCCGCTTTTGCTTCTGCAACTTTGTATTTTTCATTTTCTTCTAAGTTATCCAGATTTCGTTTTCATTTCTTGTTCATTGCCTTTAATCTTTCAAGTTATGCAATCATCAATCGTTTCTGTGTCTTTAAGCATGTTGTCTGAGTAGTGACTAGAATTTCTGAGGATGGGATAGAGTAGATGTGAGACCCTTAGTCGATTCTGATGGTTAAGTGTAGAAATATAGAATCCCTTCTGGATTAGTTGTGTTTATTGCTTATTCCTTTCTGATCAACTGGAATTCGATCCCAGACATTCCAGCGCTCATGAGGCGTTTAATGGATTGTTGGATCTACTAATTCCAGTGATAATCGTCTCTATCCCAAGGGATTGGCCGTTTAGAGCGGTTATTGACTTTAACAGTCGGTTCTTATTGCCTGCATAGTTAGATTCCGTTAATGGGAATTAGTCTGGGCTAGCTTTGCTTGAGGATTTGTTGCACGGGAGTGAATAAGTATGTTGTTGAACCTGTTGTCTAGGGATAGCTTCATTGAGGATTGTTAACCATCGGAATTGATTATGGAGTCCACACTATTCGATTACCCCATCCTTAGGAGTTTCTTATCCAATTGATTTCTCTGTTTATTTACCTTCTGCATTCACCTTCTCTGTTACTTGTTATTGAATTTTGATAACTGTCTGTTTTCGGACCCTTTTACTCTATCACATCCTCCTTCTGGCAGTGAGCCTTGTGATAGAGTATAGCAGTCCATTTCTGCAAATTTACTGTTTTCTGCAATCAATCACTAGGACTGTTAGAACAACAACCAATTCCTGCTTGGCTTGACTTAGTGCTTTCTGATCATATCTCATTTGTTTGCATCACACCTGATTGGATTGACACCTAAAATACTACAACGACATGATAGTATTATAGGTTAATTGATCGTAAAAAAACCTATTATCAATATGGGATAAAGCCTAGTAGATTTCCCCCTCAGAAACTGGTTTGGTCAGCTGCTGGTTCATCTCTACTGTAACTTTGGATTGGATATGTTGCAGAACTGGTTCCAAGTTGTTACTGCCAGAAGAAGAATATACGTCAGTAAAGTAAGAGTGAACAACCTTTTGGATTTCTTTTTGTGATTTTTGAATAGTGCCATGAGCATCCTGAATAGATGTAATACGGTTAGGACTCCTCCTTTGCTGCGTTTTGGCATGGAAATATTTCGTGTTTTTGTCTCCAGCTTGCATCCACTGGATGCGACTTTTAGTACGCCAAAACTCTTCTTCCAGTCGATATTCATGCTGTAGTTTACGCTTAAGATCCATAATATAATTGTAATCTGGGGAAGGAGAATCATACGCCTTTTGGATGGCAAGATGGAGTTGCTGGATCAACTTGTGAGAATTGAGATTTTGTGCAGATTTCCAGCGTGAAAGGTTGTTCCTGCAACGCTTCAAAGCTTCACAGAATCGTTGTGGTGGTAAGTGACTGCAGTCTTGATCCCACGATTTTTGCAAAGCCATATGAAGGTCTTGCTTAAACCTCCATCGGTTATCATAACGAAATTGCTTTGTGCCTTTCCATTTATTGTTCTCAGTTTGAAGCAAAAGAGGCCGATGGTCTGAGCCTATCCAATCCAAAAGTTGAACCAGTGCCTTAGGAAACTGATTCTTCCAATCTGCAGTAGCAACAATTCTATCCAATTTAGATTTAACTGTCCCAGTGCTTCGGTTACCTATCCAGGTATACAAGCCTCCATAGGGTTTAACTTCATGTAAGCCAGAAACTCTTAACATCCTCCTGAAATTGCTAAACTGCCATTCTGGCTTTGCAGGTCCTCCTAATTTTTCTGAATTACATTGGATTTCATTGAAATCGCCAAGAACGAGTCTGGGCTTGCTTTGGTAGAGACCAGCTTTGACTAGAGTTTCCATTTTGAGCCACTGTTGCTGTCTTAGCTTTCGCTCCGGGTTTCCATAGACGTATGTCAGACAAAAGGTAGTTGGCCCTTCCGATATATACATATCTGTATAGTAAAGTGTAGGTGGAGACAGAAAATCACACTTTACCGTATTTCGCCAAAAGATAGCTAGTCCTCCGCTTAAACCATCAGGCGATACCAGAAAATGATGGTGAAAATGGAGTTCCACGCCGAGTTGCTGTACATAGCTGTCTTTATTTTTA